TAATTTATTGCACTGATTCACCAGAAATAGAAAACAAACCTTAAGTATATACTAAGAATGCTATGTCCGAGTTTTCCTGCTTCTAAGTACATATTAAGAATATACTCGTATACCGAGCAGAAATTTTAGTACGGTAAGGGTCTGACCGTAAATGTAACGTCGAGAATTATAATTGCCTGATAAGATTTTCCTTATCAAGACTCATGACTTGCCCCTTATTACGCCTTACAATTTGTAATAGGGGGCCAGTAAGGCATTAGCAGGCTTCCTAATAAAAAACTTAAATTTTTTAAACTAATTTTTAAACTGTGTTAAATTATATGTATAGTTATCAAAAGTATAATCAGGTCATTGAAGTTTATCATGATCCAGACAACTTGTTATCGGACTTTTATCATGTCGACTCGATACGGGATGATTTACTTACGAGGAAGACTAAAAGCCATTCTACAATTGCGTAAACGTACGTGTGGTTGTTAGCTGTTGTACAGTGTTGAAAAACACAGTTTTAAACTAGCATTTCCGATTGTAAAGCCTGTTGTAAAACATGGCTGAACTTCATCTTTCAGGACTACAACGATATAGAACGTAATGGCTAACCAATCAGAATTCTGTCACGTGTCCATACCGCTCTCATCAAACGCTAAACTGTACTCTGATTCGTTATTATTCACTTCAATTACGATGTATCTTACTCTATTGTATATTACTTTGTTGTACAACACTTACTACTACTTCTACTCCTACAACCCTACAACTACGTTTACGCAATTGTAAAATTGCAATTTTTATAAATATTTGTGTACACATGAAAACTCCAAAGAGATATGTACATACATGTCTACCCTTTTTCTCTTCTACTCTTTACTTTCCCCAACTCCCACCCTCTCTTCTTGAAAAATTCTATCCTGCCTCTCTCCCACTTCGATAAACCATTTTGTCTTTAAGCATTATTGTATTAAATAATTTTTATAACTGTCTTGGCACTACAATGCAATCAATTTAAAACAAAATTTATGCTTGCACATAAATTCTGAGTTTCTTTCAATTGCCATAAGGTTTTTCTAGAAAATCATCTACAATAGGTTGAAAAGTAAACCGAACGATGTTTGCAAACACAGCTGTGTTCAGGATTTGCAGAGGGAGCAGTATGGTTACTAAATTTCTGTGGAAGTCAACCAAGATTCTGCAAACCCACAGAACAGTCTGTATTTCTGCGCGAGATAAATTCTACTCCAGCAACATTGATCAAGCTGCGAACAAGTTGGCAGTGAGTCAAAAGACGGACTGGAATAAAACTATATCGGAAGCAGAGAAAATCGTTGGGTATTCGACCTTAAAATTAAGACAGTTAAGGAGCGACGAGATTGCGTTGCAATTGACGAAGCTGGTTGGATCCAATCATCCCTTATTGAAGACAGCCAAGTAAATTATCATGTGCGATAATGCTCTTTTGAAAGTAAAAGCTTAATTTGTATATCTTTTTTTTACGATAGGAATATTATTTACAATGGACATAACACGCAGGTATTTAGTGTTATCTTGCTGTTAATTTCCAAAGCTGCCGGCCACTTGAATGTAAAACCGATAGAAGAGGACAAAGCTACAGGGGTATTACAAAGGTAAACTGTACATAGAAATTTAAGCACTGCTGACACTACAAAAAATATGAAGAAAAAACATATTTGTATTATACATACATGTATATATTATTATACACACACATATATATATAATTTATATACATATGTATACAAGATATAA